TCCCGACGATGCGCGACACTCTCCGAGACACGCGGACGCTTGCAAACGCTTGCGGACGCTTGCAAACGCTTGCGGATGCTTGGCGAACATAAACGTAACGACCTCGCGTCGCCTCCTGGACCCCTGGACCCCAACCTGAAAACGGGAACCCTTCTGCGGAGCATTCGGGAAAAAACGCTCCGCTGCTGAATTCCTAGGTGCCTCAATGGAAACTACTATTGTATATTGCGGTCATATAGCGATAATGGAGAAGAACATGAAAAACTACAGGGATTATAGAGGTTATATACGGTTAGCCTCAGACTGGGTGTTGGGTTATTTTGCAAAGGGCCGCAGGCAAGAGGTACGACCTCTAAAAAAGCGTGAACACATCCAACCCCCCCCCCCTCCCTTCCCCAATGTGCCTCATACCATGCCAAGAACACACCACCTTATTCAGATTATTATTTGTGTTGTGTTTAACCATTTTTCTTATTCTTATTATTATTGCTATTCTTATTAACATTACTGTTGATAATGCTGATATGTTTCAGAGCTTTATTCTCATGATGTTGTTATCAATGAACGTTATTTCTTGTTCGCTATGGCTCCAAAAGACAGCAGCTTGGAGGTTGCAGCTAACGCTCACCCCATCGTCTGGCAAAAAAGTACAGCTTGCTCGGAGCTCAGATTTTGGCAGTTGTGAAGTGCTGTTTCGGACAGCTAGTATGTCATAGTAAACAATAGCATATATACTATACTACAGCATAGTTTCATTTGATTGCCCAAGTCTCAAAAGAAGCAAAAAGCTTCTTACGTGATTGTCTGCATGTTGGTACAGTGCCCAACCTTCCCTCTTTGAAGCCGTAGTTTCCATTTTCGTTCTCCATTAGCCCACTACATATCCCCCATATACTATATAGTAGTTTCCATTTTATTTTCCATTAATCCCATATAAACCCCAACGTACTATAGTAGTTTCCATTTTAAATAACATTATGCCAATACTCGCCCAGGTGTTGCACCAAGACGCTTCGGTGGGCATCGCAGGAGCTCGGCGCTCAGCTCCTGCTTTGTTATATTGGGGATTTATAGGGATAATGGAANNNNTGGGGTTATATCGGGATAATGGAGTGTCATTGGCCACACGGAGGATCCCACAAACCCACATTGGGTCCCTTAGCCTCAGCCTGTTTTGAGGGAGAACCCTAGAAAGGGGAGACGCTCCAATCAGAGGCTACGGGGGGAGGGAGTCCTGTTCGGTGCTGGCAATCTTCCTCCTTCAAATTTGCACTGGGTGGGCAACACGTCAGCACATGACCAGACTCAGTGTAAGTGGTTTCTCTGTAGGTGCGACTCCACTGTCATACGTTGATTCAAGGCCTGGCGACTGTGCTGCAGCACAGCCCATCTGTATCCTGTACAATCTAGACTCCCCAAGTAAGGGAGTTACTCAGGTCTTGTATGACTGTGCAGCTCTTCTAGCACGACGGCTTTGTGAGGAACCGAGCCTTCTGGGGTCCAAGGCGGGCAAAGCAGAACATGGGACATCCAAGGCCTTAGGCATGATATTGGATCTGCTGGAATGGGGAATCCAAGCCGGATAGCTCGGCATCCGTTGTTTGCTGTTTTTTTTTTTTTTTT